CTGAGGACGGCGGCGCCGCTGGTGGCGCTGCTGCTGCTGCTGTCCCCCTGGTGGGGCGGCGGAGGGGCCGCCGGCGGCGCCGCAGGGCTGGCCGCCGCCGCGCCACTGGCCGCGCCCCGGCGGCCCCGCCCCGCTCCTGCCAGCCCTTATCCGAAAGGATTGATCAAGACGCCGCGAACCACAAAAGAATAGTGAGTGGATAAATAGATGTTTTTAGCCTATCTCTACCAGAATTCATTCGTTACATTAATGATCATGGAAGGCAAATAAGGCAATCAACATGCACGTTAGGGTACTTGGACACTTTGCTCAGTCAAATATTATGAAGTGCATTTAATGACTGTAAGACCGCGTCCACCAAATTTGTTGTATCGTTTATTGAGCAGAATCACTCTCTACATCCCAAATTCCCAACAGCCTCAGCCGCGGTGATGCAAGCAATGTTCGCTCGGACCAATACCGTGAAATTGTGTTGTAAAATAATAACAAATTGTAAAATAAAGTGTTGTATCCATAAATCGCTGCTTATTTGCCTTTTGAGTTAGTGAAATACAGAGCTCCGAAGCTATAGTCATACTGACTATTTATTTAAGAGGTCGAAGGTAGTAATTATTAGGCATGTTCTAAAAAGCTTATGCTCATATTAGTAATTATGTTTATAATATGAGGTTTTTAAGGTGATCAATAACATAGGTACCTAAAAATTACATTTATAATGCTCAAAAGTGCCATAGCAAGATTACAATCACGGTCAAAGTTGGCATTATTAATGGCCCTGTCTTTTAGTAACCGTTTTCAAGCCTGTTTCCGTCGTTCACAGTTCTTTTTTATTACAATCGCCTCCATGTTTTTTATTTCCAGCCTTATTCAGCTGTGCAAGTCAATAAAATGGTGTAAAAAAGCGCTCGAGGCGAAGAAGGAAATCAGAAAAACAATTAAGAAGCTGAGAAGCTGGCTTAGGCGTCTAGTAGAGAAACGGCGAAGGAGAAGAGAAAGACGACGAAAACGACGTGCGGAGCGACGGAAACGACGAAAGGAGCGACGCAAGCGTAGGAAAGAACGCCGTAAAAAGAGGAGGGAGGGACGTCGAAAGAAGCTGAAAAAGCTGGTGGGCAAACTGCGGGGAAAACGTTGACATGGTTATGATTAATTTCGGCGATCAACTCTAGTGCAATTGATTTGTTGCTAAGTGAAAGCTTTAGATAGCTATTCTTATGTAAAAACGGGCACGATCTGAATTACAGCCCTGCTATGTCACTAGCGTTTTCCAAGAGTTTGACTGAACGGTGTATGTACAGCTACAAAATATATGCACACGCATGCAGCATGCACCAGGGCGGCAATGTACCGTATCAACAGCGAGCTGGGAGTGTCGTATCAACGGAACAGAGTGTCGACCGTGAACTTGTGAATCGCTCTGAGGACCTCTTGCCTTTCTTATCGGATGTACCACCGACTTCTCTATATAATCCTTCTCTATGAATCCTTCCTATCATAAGGTTCGGACCATCTTTTTTTAAATCCAGCACACGGGGGAAGAAGAAAGGGGCAATAGCCACCCTTTCTCGCTGGATTCCGCAGTGAAAATGGACTAGCGCCATTTTCAAGCCCACTTGTGCAATGTGAAATGAACTTGACATGAGGACATCAATGGGTGTCGATGAACGTACAATGATGTTACAATACACATTCATATCGGCCAGAAGTCTCTCTTATTCTGGGCTACGAGCAATAGATAGTACAAGATAAATTATATTAGGTACATAAAATTCAACCTGTCGACGGGAAATAATAAAAAAATGTGTTACAACATATGGGTTCATATTAGCCGTTTTCACGACGGGCTATCCGGCGAGTGCACCTAATTTGACCAAATCTGCACCTAATCTCTTTTACAGCAAATATCTTTATTTCATGAATTTATTTCAGTGTTTTAATCGATGATACTCTCTGATAATATGACAAAGCAGGGATATAAGTAATTAATGTAGCCCTAGCTGATAGCTACTAAGAGACACACTGAACCTAATATGGCTAAATCTGCACCTAATCTGCACCAAATGTGCACCAAATGTGTACCAGATGACCGTCGTGAAAACAGCTATTACGGCTTCAGAAATTTGGGCCTCCAATGCTGATTTCCCAAAGCAGCGCACAGTCCATAATCATATATAGAGGAGTCTGTGGATGTACCCATAAACGATAAAAAAGGTTATACGTAATTCTACTTTGTCTATCAAATGGCTATCTCGGTTTTTTGAAAATTTTGGATTTTGGCCCAAATTTTTTCCAAAAACTGACTTTTTTTGGGAAAATAATTATAAAATCCAAAATTTGGGGTGTATCGAAAAAACCGGAATATATGTCAGAGAAGTGGTCTATGTGCACCTACATACCAATTTTTAGAAGAATCGGTTCAAAAATGTGGGAGTTATTCAAAATTGTATGACGTCACGACACACAAAATTTTGAAAAATGATTTTTTTGGAAGTTTTAGACCTCGTACGGAAACAAAAATAGCACCATTCGATTCGCCGTGAAAAACTGCATCAGATAGACACCTTTGTAGGCCTTAACAACCAACTTCAAAATTTGACCTCACTTGACCTGACCTTGACCTGACCTCGACCTGAAATTCATCCAGAGGTGGTCCATATCACTTATTGAGTGTGCCTATTGAATTCTATGAGTAAAATGACCCATAAAACATGTGTCGCACATGCCCTTTTCTATATTTTGTTTTTTGGTGACCTGACCTGACCTGACCTACCCTTGACCTTGACCTCTGAATGATATTGTATGCAATGAATATTGTCTTGGTAGCCTAAGAACACGTTTTGGGCAATCAGTCTCAGTCCATGACTCCATTCTTCGGCAACTACGGTGCAAGGCCGATACTGTAGAAACTTGCAATTTGTACCCTTGACCTGACCTTGACCTTGACCTCAAACTTTAAATTAAGTACATGTTGTTAGTTGTTCGTGATGAGAGCTTTCGATTGGCGTTTGAATTTTCCAAATCGGACCATTAGTTCGGGAGATAACAGGGGGGGGGGGTAAAATTTACCCCCCCCCCCAGCCCCGCGCGTTTGGCTGGAGACCCCAGCCCCGCGCGGGTTAACCTTCCAGGCGGTGGGGGGGGGCATTTTTTGCCCCCCCCTTAGTTTTTTCGATATATTTCGAGAACCGCTGCGCCGATCGTCACCGAACTTTCAGTACCCTCCCGTGAATAGCTATTGCACATTGTGACCAAATTTTTTTTCAAAGGCTATGATAGATTGGATGCTAATGACGTCAGAGTGACGTCATTTCTGCCATTTTCGACCCAAAAAAAGGTTTCGCGAGAAGAGCTGTCAGGCCTACAGCTTTAAAGATACAGAAAAATGTTTCAAACATAAAAGATGTAGAATTTAGAGGGCTACAAAACTGATAGGTATATCGGATTTTTTTAACTTTTTGGATTTTGACCCCCAAAAATCAAAAAAACAGATTTTAAAAATAAAATAGCTTAAAAATCCAAAACGTTTTTTGAATTTCGAAAAAAAACGGAATGTATGTGATAGTCACTACCGCCTTCTATCTACATACCAAATTTGAGATCGATACCTCTTTTTTTTTGGAAAAAACTCTTTTTTGGCCAAGTTATAGCGAAAAAGCTGTTCAAAATTGATGACGTCAAATTTTCAAACTCATTTTTTTAGCAATTATAGACCTCGTAGCGCAAAACAAAGACCACCATTAGACTCCCCGTGACGAACTGCATCGAATCAATACCCATTTTATGCAACAATATCAACTTTGAAATTTGATCTTTTTTGACCTGACCTTGACCTGACCTCCACCAGAAAGTGACCTAAATCGTACCTGATGGTCTTATAACCAACACCATTGAGCTGGAAATGAAAAACTGGCCATAAAACATGCATCGCACAACCTTAGTAAAGTTGGGTTCATGACCTTTGGTGACCTTTGGTGACCTGACCTCTGACCTGACCTGGTATGACCAGTGACCTCTAATAGCAACATAATGACCTTTTCCGGTCAGGTCATGACCTTAGAGCATGAGGTCAAATTTTCAAAATAACCTTTCAAGGTCAAATCACAGTTCATTCGACGCGTGTCGCGTATCGACGAGAGCAAAACGACACTGGCAAAAGTAATGACATGGCTCATGATTCAAAAGTTATAACAAAAAAGGAAAACGGCTATCTTTAGAGTTTTTGCCCTCTGAAGGGTAGGTAAATCGTTGGCGTGAGGTCAAATCTGAGGCCACACATAAAAAAAAAAACGTTAAAAGGGCTATCGAATGCGCTTATCCGCGGCGTTGTAATTCCCGGGCTGGTGCCGGTTTTTCGAAAATGGTAGAAATAGGCAAAGTTTAAACTTTGATGACCTCTGGTGACCTGACCTTTGACTTAACCTAAAAAATGGCTGATGCATTTCCTTCATTTGACGCTCTTTCGGATGCTAATTACCGTGTGTCGCTACGAACCGAGTCAGACGGGGGGGGGGGGGGGGTGAAAAGGCCCCAGCACCACACGGAAAACTATGACCACCAGCTGTGGCTGACAGCCATTCTTTTCAATCTGGCGAATCTTTAGTTTTCATTTTCACGCCTCCTGAGTCAGCTTCACTCGTTATATTTCACCCACAGGCACGTTAACACCTAGCTGACAAGGCCGGTGATCCCCGGCCGTACAATTCAGCGATGAAAATGTGATGTTCAAATCACATTTGCGCACGTCAAAAATCACCGTCGGACGGTTCCCGGATGATCTTTGCATGACCATGAGCTTTGACACATGTATCACAAAGAGGCCCGATCATGCCGAGGCCATGCGAGCAGACGACCTGCGTCGCCCTGTCCATCAGTCTCTATCACGGCGCGTGTGACATTAACCGGCGTCGGGCCTCCCGAGTGGCGAGTTCGGACGCGGCCGTGGGCGTGGCTGTGCAATATAACGCCGTCGTGTCGGTGGCGTCGTGGAGGAGTGCTGCGGCTGCGCCGGAGGATGGCCGCGCTGAGGACGGCGGCGCCGCTGGTGGCGCTGCTGCTGCTGCTGTCCCCCTGGTGGGACGGCGGAGGGGCCGCGGGCGGCACCGCAGGGCTGGCCGCCGCCGCGCCCCTGGCACCCAAGCGAAACTTTGCCCCCTCATCTACCCCGCAGAAGACTGTAGCAATAGTGCCGATCGTTAAAGCGACCATTACGTGAGTGACATCAACGAACTTTTCATTATTCCACTCCTTGGGACTCTGTTGCAATCTGACATTCGTTAAGAGTTGCATAGATTTTGGTGATATCACAGGTCCTGCAGGCTCAGACTAAGAAAATGAAATTTTAGCAACATCAACAACCTTGTCAGTTGCCAACAACAATTTACTTCAGTGTTTTAATCGATGATAATGTCTGATGCTATGACGAGGCAGGTATATACCTACCTAAGCAATTAGTGCAAACCTGGCTCATAGCTGATAAGTGATATACTAAGAAATGCAGTATGCACTGAACCAAATTTGACCAAATCCTCACCAAATCTGCACCTAATCTACACCAAATGTGTACTAGATGGCCGTCGTGAAAACGGCTATTGTTTGAGGCAAATGGACTTAATTTACTCCTTATTTTCCAGCATTATTCAACTATGCAAGAAGGTAAAGTGGTGCAACAAAGCACTTAAGAAAGGAGAGAAGTCAGTTAAGAAGGTTATAAAGAAGTTTAGGGAGTGGCTGAGACGTCGAAAAGAGAGACGTCGAAGAAGAAGGGCAAGACGGAGGAAGCGCAGGAGGGAACGACGGAAGCGCAGGAGGGAACGACGGAAACGACGAAAGCAGCGACGCAAGCGGAGGAGGCAGCGACGCCGAAAGAAGGTGAAGAAACTACTGAAGAAATTGGGATAGGAAGACGCTGACAACCAGATTTTGGCAATCATCCATGACACTGTGGGATTTTGCGTATTGAATAAAACTGAAATGAAACTGAACCCATGCTTTCTTTATGAATACTTTCGAATCTTCTTCAGTTTTACGCTGAATGAGGGTGCACTTACTTAGTCGATTCACTTTTACGTGTCCCCGAAAACATTTATGTTTTTCCATCTACCTTTTTATGTGGTTCGGCTACAGAGAAACTGCTGTCTGTGGGTGTGCGAAATAAAGGCATGCATTTCGAGCGTGAATTCATGCCGTCAGCCTCAGCTAAGCGGTGCTTTCAATATACGGCAAAAAATTACACTAGCCTGCCTATGTATTATGCTGATTGCTGAGTGTTACATCTCATGCATTACCTGTCACGTTTCCTCCGCCAATTAACCCATTTATGCCCAGGAATATTGACCATCATGAAAATCGACGAAATCAAAATATGTTATGCTCCTACCAGGGCCTTGTATGGAATCGAAAATAATTTTTGCCTGCAGCAAAAGTTTCTCGAGAAAAACGTAAAAAACATGCGTTGCGAAATCGCAACGAAGGGCACATCGGGCGCCATCAGCGTTGCGAAAACGCAACGACGGGCACATCAGACGGACATAAAGTACACTGAACTGCCGTATATGCTAATATGTTTTGACAAAACATCAATCAACTGTTGACAACTATTGCTTGAAAATGCGGAACCCACATCCGTCATGCTCTATAACCCGCCTAAGAGCCTCAGTGAGGAAGCATAACTTCATGATTCGCGAACGGGGAGATGGCAACACGGTCATTATCAACCATTTACGTTGTCCATTGCTGTTCATTTAAAGTTGTGGTCGACACGTATCCAGGGTGATGCTTTCTTTTTGGAAGCTAGACAGATCCATTACCTCCACCTATCAGACCCTGCACAGTGCACACTGAATACAATTAAACGGAGGATTGGGAGTAAACCAGTGCCTCTCGTATGCGCGTGTATCCGCAATCATTTTTAACCACCCTCCTAGGAGTAAAGTTAAATTCCATTGCAGGTTAGTCGTACCCACTCTCAGCAAAAAGAAAAAAGGACCGATCCGGCTCTAACAAATTACCCGCGTAAGGCGTAGCGCATCACAACAAATCGACTCCCAGTTTATCATGTTTACACCTAATCCAAAATTTTCATGGCCCCACTCTCAGCGACCTTCACGTGTAACCTCTTTCTCGAGACAATGCCAGGACAGAATGGTGATTCGACGTCAATCCGTCCTTTCCATCTTCAGGATAGTTGAATCCTCCTCCACGCCTCATCCCCCTGTTCCGGGCTGGACCGGCAACGTATATCGCAATCGGGCAGCTCACATAGGAGCGCGCCTGTAGCCGGGTGCAGTGAGTGCTTGGGAGGGGGGAAGGGGGTGGGTCATGGGTGGCGGCTGCCCACTGGCTGGGCTCAGTCTCCAGTCTACGATTGACCGTGTCCGGTCAGACAAATGTCTCCCCTAATTCCAATAATCCTGCTAGCTCTAAAAATGGTCTGATTAGATAAAAAGCCTATCAAAGTAAGAAAACAGGCGTATACTCCACATCAAGCAGCTTATGAATCTGCGAGTTATGAATCCTAAAAATTATTATTTTCCCATGTGTCCGCCCTCATTACCCCTGCCGAAGGGCTCAGCTACCCTCAGAGGGGGCCTATCCCACTATTTGCCGACCCTCAGTTATCTTTTCTAACGTAAATGCTGGTAGTCATCAGATTCTATCCCGAGAATGGCGATGCCTATCTGTCGCCTGATACCAGAATACATCCCCGTTATTCATTATTTATGCACAATGTACATAGTAGATCCAATTTCCAAAGGACCTAATTATCTCTCAGCTCCGTTAGCATCGCCGACCGTTTGATGCATGAGTCCTTTTACTACCATGCGATTTTCAGATGCATGGGAACACATTGCTTAGTGAACGAACAGCCCGAGGCCGAAAATCTGCGAGAGAAAAAGAAAGGAGTGTTTGTGGCTGTTTGAGCCAGCAAATATGAAATGTGTCGCAACATTTTACGTGCGAACGCACCTTGCACTAAACATACCTGTATATACGTCCCTCATGGCATAGGCGGCGGAGCGGGGGGAGGGGGCACCGGGGCACCGTGCCCCCCTTGATTCTGCCATTTTAACATTATCCCGATAGGCGTTGCATGGAAATGGAAATGGAAAGAATGAGACCAAAAGTCAGCAGTGCTCCCCCCCTTAATTGAAGATGTTCCGCCGCTACAGCCTCATGGCTACAAAATGAGAGAGAGAGAAAGAGAGAGAGAAAGGGAGAGAGAGAGAGGGCGGAGAGAGTTGGGGAACGAGGAGGAGAGGGAGGAAGATGGGGGAGAGAAAGAGAGGACCCACAGCGTATCACGAGTGAAGTCTACTGTTGATATTCATACTTCCGCTACCCTGCCAATGTGCCCATCGTTGCGTTTTCGCAACACCGCTGTCTTTCCGATGTGCCCTTCGTTGCGTTCCCGCAACGCGACCGTAGTCATATTTGAAAATAGTCACAAACCCTTTTTGTAGCATTATTTCTTAACAAAATGCATATCTACGCTATTGTAGGGACTCTGCAGAATATGTTTACACAATTTTCATTACGATATTATTAAGCACTCAGCCTACTTATCTTGGTTTTCGTGACGTCATCACTCACAAAACCTTCGACTTCCCTCTGGGAGCTCTAGGCAGTAACTTACCGGCCGCACAGACTTGTAACTGCGTAGTATCATGCGCACAACCATGCTACACACGCTGAAACTTGTCTCATCGGTTAGTCTCTTTTACACACTTCTCAAGCTTCGATCACGTCGACGCTTGCTTGCGTTGCGAAAACGCAACGAAGGGCGTAAATGGGTTTTAAAGACAGCTATACCGGAGATACAGCTAGTGATTTTGTCGGCTGATTTCGCTCCAGTCACTAACTGAGAGGATATGGCCGTCCGACAACTGAGACGGAAAATTGCCGTCCACTGACAGCGCACGGAGCCCGGGAGACGGGCGGACCGTCCGCCGTACGGAACCCAACCGGCACGGGGCCGCCCGAACGCAGGAGGGTTCCGCTCCGTGTCTTAGAGGTCCGGTACGACGCACATCGCTGCCGGTGCCACTGGCCGAGTATCAGCAGTCAGTTCGACGCTGATTGAAGTCCGGGGTCGTCGGCACAACTCCTGGACTCAGGAGGGGGGGGGGGAGAGAAGGTAATCACCGCGCACGGCGCCCTGCCACCTTTACGACCAACCAGTGCCAGTGCAGTGGTACTGGTGGCATATGTGCGGTGAAAACTAACTTTGGTGAAGCCACAAAGTCTGCTGCTGAGGCCGACTTACAGGATTTGTATGGTTTCACGAGTGACAAGACCGTGCCTACTGCCACATACATACGTATGGATTGGCATACCGACAGCGGACTAATGTTACTGGTCATGTTTCCGTGGTCATTATCAACGAGTTCAGATTAGAAATCGGATCGCGGAATCTCGATTTCGGAGGCCATTTCCGTGACCGATTCTGTAAAAAACGGGATTCAGACCATGAGGATAAGCCGATCCAGATCGGCAGCAACAATCCCGCATCAGTAGGTGTACGCATAAACTTGCACGGCTATGACGATTGACTTCATACTTCACGGCAATCACCCAGCCAGCAATTCGCTTGGGCTGAACTGTGGCAAACGTCGGGCAGCTTGGGCTTAGCTTGGGTTTGCCCACTTTGATCAAAACCAATGTATTTTTTACTAGGGCTGAGCTGGGGCATGCCGCAGCTATGCACACGTGCGGCTAGCAGCAGCTCAGCCCGACATCCGCCCGCGCATCCAAATCGGGCATAACTTGGGCGGAGCGCGGGCTGATCAAGCTGGCTGTGTCCTTCGGCTAACTGGAGTAAAACCGGAGCTTAGCCATACTTGTTCGGCTGTTCGCGCATGCGCATTTCTGCGCCAATCATGTGCAGCGTTTGTGACAGTCTGCGCGCTGTGCGACGAAACGACACACCGGTGTTGGGGCATTTGGTGGTTGATGTTTGGGCGCGTGTGACAGCGCGAAGAAGGGATAGTGCTCACTGCTCTTATCAAGTGGACTGGCATGGAGTTTTACGGTAGGTAAGTGTATTGAATGGTGCGCTTGATCGTATGTAAACGTCATGATTTTGACTGAGTTTTACGCCATCAAACATGAAGCTGAATAGCTGTTCAGCCTGGCGACTTATACCCTCGCTCAGAAAAGCCGCATTCCGTTCCTTTATATCTTTGTGAAATACCAGCACTTCTGAACCAGGAAAATGAAATACAAAGCACAAATATTTATCTATGTACTTATCACCGAGCACGCTCATTATCTGTCCGCGTTGAAAATCGAATGAACATTTTTTATACGGATCAATGAGAAGTGCTTTTACAGTATTAATGCAACAATAAGTTATTTTTGAAGCAAACATGCAATGTAAATTAAACCAATTAATCTCTTTTCAGGTACGTACCATTAGAGCAAATGGTTCCAAAAAAGGAATAGTTATACAAAGAAGGACCGGGTGGACGCCGCAGTCGCCCTCGCCAAGTCGTTTAGCGGAAACTGCCTGCTTATAATTAAGTAGGTATACCTACATATACGGAAACTGCGCCGAAAGCTGGCCGACCACCTACTGCAGATGTGTGTGTGTGGAGGAGCCAGACGCCTCCAAAGCTCCCATTCACCAGAGTGAAGTTCCTTATAAACGATTGTTTGCTAATTGCTTTATGTCTTATGAGCGATTCTTGCTGTCCTTATTTTATGCTTTCGGTTGAGTGTTCAACCAAGTATTATGAACGGAAAAGGAGGTTAGCGGGCCTTGTGATTGTTTTATGGTTTTGATGGCGCTTTTTCATGACTCATTCGCTCCTGACTCATTCTCATAGGCGGCGGAAGGGGGGGGGGGCGGCACCGGGGCACTGTGTACCCCCTTTGATTTTGACATTTTAACATTATGGGCGTTGCATGGAAAGAATGGGACCAAAAGTCGGCAGTGTCCCCCCTTAATTGAAGGTGTTCCGCCGCTACTGCTCATTCTGTCGTCTCGTGACTCACTGTATGGAATACCTGCCTTGTTTCTCGTTTCGTCCCACCTGAGTGCCCATACGATTGGTGTGGCAGAAGCGAGGCAACCACAAATGAACCATGCGATTTCACATAATCCAACAATCCGCTTCACTAGCATCGCATAAAGGCTCCTTCTTGTCCTATTGTCTAGCTGCATGACAATTGCACTATATGCAGCAAACAATACCGATGTCACGGCTCAAATCACGTCCAAGTCCCGTGCACCACAATGCGGCACATCCGTCCGGCGGGCACTCACTACGGCCGGCGCTGGACCGGCCTGCACGACCCCAGCACGGCACGGGGCGGCGCTCGCCCTGGGCACCCAGCTGTCGGTGCCGGCTCACCTGCGGCGGCGCCCGCGGCTATCTGCTCCTGCCGCGCCACCGCCGCCGCCGCCGCCAGTCGGTGAGCGGCGCGCTGCGGGCCGGACGGGCGGAGCGGCGCGCGGCGTGACTGATAGTGGGCGCTCCGGCCAGCGGCGGGGCGTGGTGGGCTGTGCTGAGCGCGCCGCCCCTCCCACAGCAGCACAATGCGCCAGAACAGCCAGCAGCCGCAGTTCGAGCCGGACCTGGCCGGAAGTGAGCCCCCAGCGGCCGGAAGCGAGGGGGAGCCGCCCGGTGACAAGCGGCCCAGCTCTGCCGACAGTGCCGAGCCGGCCGGCGGCGAGCGCACCGCCACAGCCACCATGGACGAGCCCATCCAGCTGCCGCAGAGCTTCGTCGTCAAGTACCTCGGCAAGCGCGAGGCCGAGAAACTGTGGGGCATCAAGTACACGCGTGGACCCGTCGACGAGATGGTGGCGACCGCCAAGGCGATGCGGCCCGGCCAGACGCTACCGCTGCTGCAGCTGAACGTCTCCGACCAGGGCGTCAACATCACCGAGATGAAGCAGAACCTCAACAAGAACTTCGAGGCCGGTAACTACCCGATCGACGTCATCTCGTACGGCGTGCAGGACATTGTGTTCACGCGTGTGTTCGCCATGATTCTGGTGCGCGAGAACACGCCCAGCCCGTTCGAGTGCCACGCCTTCGTGTGTGACCGGCGTGAGAGTGCGCGCAAGCTGACGTTCGCCCTGGCCACGGCGTTCCAGGAGTTCAGCAAGCGCGTCAAGCGCGAGGAGGAGCCGCGCAAGTTTGCCATCGACCTGCGCTCGCCAGACGAGATTGAGGCGGAGCTGCGCGGGCAGCATGCGCAGCAGGACTCGGAGGCCTAGTGGGCCGCCAAGCGCCAGAGGAGTGTGAAAAATTGACCTGTCATCTATGTAGTGAGCCGCTTGATGACTTCTTTTATACCGAGTCCGAGTGATTCTTCACAGGCGTGACGAAAAATAAGGCCATTCTGCTAAAGTGCCGTAGCTTTGTCAAGCTCAAGTGGTCGTCTGTTTTGCGTTCAAGAGGTCATCTCGCAGCGGCTTATCAGGAGGACCACTGCGCGTGTCTCAATATCAGACGCGATGTCCTGTCCGGTGGATGTTGCCTAGCCGGGTGTGCCCTAGCCGTGCCGCTGGTTCCTCTGGCTGCCTCAGTGTCATGACCAGGGACTGCCGCGGTGCAGTTATGATGCCAGTATCGTGACGGTCGGGCGCAGTGCGCCGTGGCCGGGGAGTGATGGGGGTTTCGTGACGGCGCGGCGCGCGGCCGACTCTGTGACCCGCTCTAAGGCGGAGGCTCGTGGCACGTGCACGGTCTGCACCGCCAGCCGCGCAGAAAGCTCCGGCGCCGTAGTGGTGTGGTGCTCAGCGGCCCGTGGAGGCCGGATGCGTTACCGAGGCGGACGGCCGCCCGACTGCAGTAGGACCGGTGTCATCGCCCCAGTCCGGCCGGACGGCACGAACCGCGGCCTGCCCGGCCAGTGGGACTCTGAGCACGGGGCTCAGAGCTGACCACTCAGAACTCGGTCTCCAAGTTCCTCTCCGTGTGGAGACAACACAGCCCCATCAGCCAGCTACCTACCTACCGACGGCGGCCGATTGGCGCCGGCGGCCGTCTTGTGATATGCGTGAAGTGTTGTGCGAACTCGTGTCGGCTCGGGTCGTCCCGGACGTCACGGCAGATACGGGGGCCGGTGGCGATAGGGGCGCTCCCAGCTCCCGGCAGCCGCCACCGTCATGTTGACCCTGCCCGACGGTGGAGTGACGCCCGATTGCCGGTCGTGTCAGCTCGCACCGGACCCGGCTGACCGTCAGTGTCGGCTCGGGCGCGCCGCTCACCGTCGGCCGATAGCGCTATCGGTGCCATGCGGCCGCCCCGATTGTGGCTGCCGCAACTGGGGCGGTGTGCCGCACTGGCAGCTTCGGGGAGGGGAGCCGAGCGGCCGCCGACACCAGCTCACCTGGCCCAGTTGTGACGTCAGATGCCTCTGCTTGTCAGTATTGTGTGTGATTGAATATTGAGCCGGGTTTTAGGATAGACAGCAAATAATGATGACGATCGGAATGATAACAGTGCTGAATAATTATCAATGATTATTTTGATCTTGCTTGTTTTGCGATATTATTGTGACTTATGCTGTATATAAATGTCGGCAACTCCCATAATCTTTTACCGTTGAGCACACATTTCTGGGATGTTTCCCCGCCGGCCGCGGCTCAGAAATTTGCCTGTCATGCCTCTCACAATGCTCCACCGCCAGTGCTGTGACGGAGCGGCCGTGGTGATATCGCCGCGCCGGTGAGGCAGCAGTCGGACAGCCGGCTGGGAGATCCACTCATCTGGGGAACGAGGTCGGACGTTAGCCGGCTGTCGCCCCGCCGCCGCGCGCGACAATCGAAAGTGGTCCACCGGCGACCGCGAGCGGCGAAAAGCGCCGCTCCTGCCGTCAAACAGCGGCGAAATCAGATACAACACCCGCGGCTCTCCGCTGAGGGCATCTCGGTATGTACCGGCTGGCGCGGCAGCTGGGCTCCCTAGTTGCGGCACCATTCCGTAGACCCTGCCGCGCGCCGTGGGTGTTTTGTCGATCTGGCGGCGCCGAGTCCCGGTACGCCACACTGATTTCGTGATTACGGGAGGGTCGGTGAACGCAGAGCGCAGCGGCAGTAATTATGTTTTTGCGAAACTTTTTGGTGGCTGGCTGCCGATTCCCTTCGCTTTCTGGCGTCATTATACTGTCAATGCTATCCCGTACATCGTCACCATTCATTGGTGTCTAGGCCGCTCACATGCTTGTCGGCCGTGTAAAAACGTCGCCGGCTGAATTTCTCCGGCGGCCGCCGCGCCGGTGTGGGATCGGGATCACAGCAGAGCGGGGCTTTGGAGAGCGGCACAGAGGGAGGGGGCCCAGCAGTGGCCATTTTCTCAGCACTGTCACGGGTGATTATAGATCTGCTGAGAGTGTCTCGCGCCGTCACTGTCGGAGACAGTGAGTTAAGCTACTGCAAGTGACGGGTCAAATGAGAAGGTGCAGGTGCGATCATTTGGCACGGAACTTTGCAATCGTCAACTCAGCGCAAATGGTGAATTTCTACTTTGGCGTCCCGGTCTTATCAAATCGGCAGCAGAGGGTGCTGGAGGGCAAAACAATGGTATATCTCTAATCTCTATACCCCTAATACCTACCACTCCTCAGGTATTCATGTCTCGTGCACCTCGCGAGTTCCGCGATACCACTATCGCTCAACTGGGAAAACAAGCTGATTGAGCAGCGGTATCGCTGTCGCTCCACCCCGCCATCCACCCTGCCCGTCTGACGGGAGGTCACCGGTGCAGGGCCCAGCCGCCAGCGCCACACCGCTCGAGCCGCCGACCCTGACCGGCCGGCCGGCCGTCGGCCCGTCCCGCCTCTGGTCATCGGAGCGGAACACCAGGGGAGGACCGGCAGGGCAGGGGAGGCCCATCCCCGGCCGGTTGGTCAGGTGAGTCACGCACGGCGCCCCTCCCCACACCCCTCCCCCTCCCCTGTCGGCCGCTGAGGGCGGTCACGTCTCGCGTCACCTGTCCTGTGCTGGCGGGGAGGGGTAGGGTGGTTTTTGTCCCGGGGTGCATTGCTGTACAAATTGGTACTCACCGAAGCGAAGGGGTTAGGGAGCGTAGTTTGAACCTGCTTTTATTATGATATCCCGCGCCGAGCCGGGGGGGGGGAGGGGTGTTTGAACACCCCACCCTCCTGGGTTTTTTTTTCGCAGATATCTCAAAACGCCGCCGTTTTTGGCACACCTGTTCGTGCATCTTTTTCGCACATGTTGTGAAAATTTCAGACCCAGGTCGCCTTAGGTCAGGTCACCAGGTCACGCCAAGTGACATCACCTCAGAAAAATAAGAATGCTCGTCATAGCTACACCGACTGATCGATTGCCTTAAAACTTTTAGCGATTGATTAGAGCAACATTATCTATAAAATGTATATCTCGGAATTTTGATATCGGTGACCTAAGGTCAGGTCAATTTTGCGGCCTCTCCATTTTAAGTCATTGGAAGAAAATTGAAAAGCGTCTGTTTTGCACGAACGCTATTCTAGACACTCTCAAACATCGAGATGAAGGTAAAATTGACACACTGAACCGGAAAATGGCAACTGTGACCCCTTGTCATGTCCCCGAGGTCATCTCAGGTCACGAACAGAATCTAACAGTTTTTCGCTAATAACTCCTTGACCTGAGGTCAAATTTTGAAGTTGACCTTTCAAGGTCAAATTATAGTTTATTCGACGCGTCTCGACGAGAAGAACACGATGCTGGCAAAGGTGATGTCATGGCTCTTTTGAGTCAAAAGTTATTACCGAAAAACGCATTTCGTAAAAACGGCTATTTTTGGAGTTTTTGCTCTCTGGACTCTGGAGGCTAAACCGTTGACCTGATGTAAAATCTGAGAACAATAATCAGAAAGGTCTGTAAAAGGGCTACCGAATGCGCTTCTCTGCGGCGCTATAGCTCTATCGGTTCCCGAGATAGCCGTTGGCAATTTCCAAAATGTTGAAATAGTCAACATTTTACCTTTGGTGACCTCTGGTGACCTGGCCTTTGACCTGACCCAAAAAATGACTGAAGTGTTCTCGTCCTTATTTTGGATGTTCTTTCAATTGCCGCTTACCGCGTGTCGCTACATGGCCCAGGAGCCGAGTTAGAAGGGGGGGGGGGGGGGTGTTCAGACACACACCCCGGCCCGGCGCGGAATCTCGCCTCGGAGCACCGGCCCGGCGCGGGATATATTTTGGGTTTTGATCCAACATGCTGATACTATTTAAAGGCTGTTGTCATGAAGTCAAACCACCAGTAACATCACGCGTTGGTGACCTTAGGTGACCTCAGTGACCTTGGAAGGTCACAACCACGGGTCACTACCGTTTTCGCCCATTGCAGCCATTCTATAACTCACTAGACAGGAACAGTACCTACTGGGCCGATCGAGACGAAAAACACCACCAGTCGATTCGCCGTATGCGATTCCATTAGCTGTTCCAATTTCCAAACAAGGTGACCTCACTGACCACTGACCTTGAAGTGACCTTCAAAGGCGAAGACCATAGCCGAAAGCGGTTATGTGACCTCCCAAGGTCACCGAGGTCACTTGAGGTCACCATATTGAAACGTCAGATGCAATCGCATACGGCGAATCGGCTGGTGGTGCTTTCGTCTTGATAAGCTCAGTAGTTCCTGAGTTATAGAATGGCTTCTATTGGCGAAACCGTCAAGTAGGTAGGCCTTTCGAGGCCACCGAGGTCACCTGATGTCACCATATTCGAAACAGCTAATGACATTGCATACGCGGTGAATAGACGGGTGATGTTTTCGTCTCAATCGGCCCAGTAGTTCTTGCAGGGGCGCGGGAACTACTTTCCGACTGGGAGGGGGGGGGGGGGGGGGGGGGGCACACCATAATAGAGATTAACCTAGGGTACCCCCAAATCTAGTTTTCTCACCGGTTTTAGGCCACTTATTTTTCACCCCTCGGCTTTTTCAACAAAAAAAGAAAACATTTGCAAAAAAAAGTGTGGTATTCCGTCTCAAAGCTGTGGGGGCACCGCCCCCACGGCCCCAGAGTTGGGGGGCAAGCTGCCCCCACTGCCCCCCCGGCTCCCGCGCCTATGAGTTCTTGAGTTACCTATATAATGGGCAATGGCTGCCAATTGCCAAAGGCGAAAACGGTTATGTGACCTCCCAAGGTCACCGAGGCTGCCTGAGGCCACTATATACCTATTCGAAACGGCTGGTGAAATCTATTTATATATTTATGTGGTGAAATCAAGGCCGTATATAGGGTGAAATTGCATACGGCAGATCGACCAAAGATCGACTGGTGGTGTTTTTGGTTCGATCGGCCCAGTAGTCCCTGACTTGGTCCCTGAGTTATAGAATGACTGCCATAGACGAAAACAGGCATGTGACCTCTTAAGGTCACTTAGGTCACCTGAGGTCACCATATTCGAAACTGGTAATAAAATTGCATACGGCAAATCGACTATTAGCGTCTTCGTTTCTAACAACTCAGTAGTTCCTGAGTTATTAGATGGCTGCAGGGGTGGCGGCTGAGTAGTGTTATCATTGGTTGGTATGTTATTTTTAAACCTTGTAAATGGCGCGATTCGTGTTGGTTCCCGTGGCACGGGATTGAGCAGGATTGAGAACGGTGGGTATTTCAATTTCGGTTGGTATTGTATTGATTGAAGAAAGCTGGAATTGGATTTTTATGTGGCACTCGATCCTCTTTTTTGTGTTTATGGTGCAGAATATCGTAGTTTTTTAAAGAAAACCGCCGTGATAGTACCTGCGCCGCGAATCTAACAATTGCGGCGTGATTGGCACAACACAGAACAACCTTTTTGCCAGTTCTAGATCAAACTAAAAATTTATATCTGTTTGCATGTCTGTGTGTGTCTGTGTGTATACTGATGTGTGCACCGATTGGTTTGTGTGTCCCAATTACATGTGATCATGATCTGAGAAGCTTTTGCCTTTTACCAAAAATGCAGTCATAAAACTTCACGAAAAGTAAATTCAGCAAGCCTAAAATGCAATGTTTTTAGATAACCTAGGTTGACCTTGACCCTGACCCTGACATCTGCACATTGTCGAATAACCTGTTCCATGATAGGTCAAGGTGGGAGGTAAGACTAGCAAAAACATACAGAAATCAAGGTGTCAAAAGCTCACAAGACCCATAGCTAATGCAAGATGTTGAGAATTGGTTATTTGGGCCATGACATGACCTGAAATGCAAGGTCATATCTCTGAAGCCAAAAACCACAGAAGCTTGACAATTTCAGTGGATGCTGAAAAAGAATAGAGAAGCAGCTATACAAATAATCAGGCTTCTAGCTTTAAAAATGTTGAGTGCAGAGCAGAAGAAACTACCAGGGGGGTTGCAACCCCCCCCCTATGTGGGGGCGAGGGTTAATGGTGTTAATTTGTTTAACCAGAAACATAGTAAGCATAATTATGTTAAGAAGCATTGACCTTTTCCTTGAAAAAGTAAGATTAAAGATAAAAGACAAAAGTTATATTACATACAGTGAGCTTTCAGCTAAAAGCCTGCGTCAAACCAACAAAATGACATGATACAAAATTCCAGAAACCCTTTTGCCCGTAGAGCCCCCTCCCCCTCCCCCCAGTCAACCGCGTTATGTAAAATACCCCAGTTATGCGTGGCCGCGATTTCGCTCTCCGTTTTCTTCTCTCGAATCACAAGTTCGGTAGCTGGCTGTGGGCATAATCTCGCTCTCCCTCCTCCATCGAGATGCTCCCTCCTCCCTTCCTAACCCGTCATAAGACAGCGGGCGCGCGGGTTAACCTGCTACTTAGCTCGGATTTAGTATGTCGTCGGAATCACGATAAAATATTTCCAAAATGTGCTCCCTCTTATCAGGTGCTGTCTTACTTACGATATGTTCGACGCAAACAAGTTTAATGAGTTGAATGACAGATTTGGTAGCCTGCTTCACGTCTAGATAGTCTGGCGCCTTTCTGGTGATAATACCTGTCCTAACCTAAGTATCTATTTTCGTTATTGCAGAATTGTAGCTGTGAATCCAGTTTTAATATGCGAGTAGCTGGCTGCTGAGCCACTATGTCTGGATGGGCGGCCGGCCCCAGCGGTCGGACCAACAGTCTGAGCGGCGCTGCCGGCGCTACGGGAGCGTCCAGCCCCATCCTGGTCGATGACGACTCGAGCGGCGAGGAGGGCAGCAGCGTCTGCCCCATCGTCATCCCAGACACGTGGAATGGCACCACCATCATGCTGCCGGCGATGGGCGATCAGGCGCCGCGCAGTACCAGCCCCATCATCATTCCCGAGTCGTGGATGGGTCGGCCGCTGCTGCTGCCGACTCGGCCTCGGCGCCGCCGGCCGCGCGGACCCAGGACCGCCACCACTACCACCACCGCTGCAGCTGCCCCTGCGCCCGCTGCCGCCGCCAGACCACTGCGTCCTACCGCTACACCCGCGGATATATCGCGTCCCAACGCGCCGGTCCCGCCGGTGCGGCAGCCTGCTGCAGGACAGACACAGTGCGGCCAACCCGGGCCGACCACACGGTCTACCACCCCGACTACAATCGCTGCGGCTGCCGCGGCGGCGATGGCGACACGCGCCTCGTCACAGCCGGGACGGGGACGCGGTGCGCGAAGAGGCCGCGGTGCCCGCTCACAGACACCGACGGCGTCTGGACGTGGGCGTGGACGAGGCCGCGGCCGCGGCGCCAGGGGTGGTCGCGGAGCCGCGGCAGCAGCGGCGAGAGCGCCTGGCCCCGATCCAGCTCTGCTGGATAAGGTGAAATCCCTGGTGGCTGGTATCACAGCGGGAACGGAGGGGCTGCGGCGGAGCCTGCCGGGTACACCGAGCCGCGAGGAGCCGGTCCCCGGGCCGAGTGGACTGCAGGCCGGCTACGTCCAGGGTGTAGCTCAGACTGCCGCAAAGGCTGGCGTCAAAACCGCAACGGATCAGAAGACCGGTGTAAAAAGCGAGTTCGAAAAGAAGGTGGCTGTCAAGAACGAGATGGTGGCCAAGGCGGGTCTGAAGGCGTCGCCTCCATCCGGGCAGAGTCGCCAGGCGAGCTGCCGTCCAGCCTCGCCGGTGGCCGGACCGAGCCGCGGCCGGGCCGACGGCGCCGACCTGCCGTCGACGGCCGGCGGCGGCGCGGACGTCACGTTCGGCGTGCTGTTCTGCGCGGCGGTGGGCCTGCAGTACTACCCGGGTCTGCTCACGGTCGGCGGCCGGCCGGTACGGCTGCTGCTCTCCGGCGCCCCGGCCTCCTCCGGCTCCCGGCGGGACATCCGGCTGGTGACCGAGCGCGGCCTGACCTGCGCCCACCTGAGCCGGCCGGCCGCCGGCGCACTGGCGCCCCTGCTCGAGGCCGGCCTGGTGCGGCTGGATGCCGCCTGTGTGGACCATGATAACAGCACCGCCGCGCTGGAGGTGACGGTACGCGGCCGCGAGGCAGACCGCCGCCACGTCTGCGACCGGCTCAGAAGCATGGGCTTCGAGCTGGAGGAGCCGTCGGCGCCGTCACCGCCGTCGCCACCCGTGCCGGACGACCTGTTCTGCCCGGTGAAGCCGGGCCGCGCGCCGGACCCGGACCGCACCCTGGTGACACCGCGCGACCCGCAGCAGGCGGTCAGTGAGCGCTGGGCGGCCGTGCAGCGCTCCCTGAAGGAGGTAGAGCCGTGTTCTGCCGTGGCCAGTCGGCTCTACCCGCACCAGAAGCAGGCGCTCGGATGGATGATGAAGCGCGAGTCGAGCGGCGCGGTGGCCGAGGGACCGGACGCCGTCTGCGGTGGCATCCTCGCCGACGACATGGGCCTTGGCAAGACGCTCCAGGTGATCTCGCTGATCCTGACGCACTTCAAGGCGGGGAGGCCTCTGGCGGTGCCGGTGCCGTGGAAACGCCGGGCGGCGCCGGCCGCCCTGGCGCTGCCGCCCCCGCCCAAGCCGAAGGCAGTATCGCTGGGAGGTCGGCCGTCACCGAAAATCGACTGGAGCAGCTTCAGACAAAGGTTAAGGCAGGCCTGTGAGGAATCGTCCAACGTCAAAGCGGAGCCGGGCTCCGACATGTTTTCACAGTCCGAGGAAGTTGTTGTAACAGATCGGAAAAGCCGCATCAAGAGGAAGCCCGTCCGCTACATCGACTCGAGCGACGAGGAGGAGGAAAAGGTGGACCTGAAGCGCGTCAAGGCCGAGGCGACAGAGAGACCGAGCAAAGCGTCCACTTCGGCGGCCGGGTCTTCGGCCACGTTCGTGACGGTAGACTCGGACGAAGACTTCCTCCCCGATGATGATGACCCTCGGGGTCAGTCCGGCGGCGCCAACGCTGTGCTCATGAAGGCGACTTCGGGCTCGGGTACCACCAACACCACCAGCCTCGGCAGTGGGGACTTCATCCCAGTGCCGCCGTCCTACTGCGACAGTGACGGCCGCAGCGGCTGGCGGGGACCGCGCACCACGCTCATCGTCTGCCCGCTGTCCGTGCTCGACAACTGGGAAACCCAGCTGGAGCAGCACGTGCACAAACACGTGCACCTGCGCGTGCGCAGTTACCACGGACCAAAGCGCACGGCCGCCGACCTGGAGGACGCCGACATTGTGCTGACCACGTACGCCACTCTGGGCCGCGCGCTGGACCACGGAGATGACAGCCCGCTGCTCTGCAAACACTATCTGCGCGTGGTGCTGGACGAGGGGCACACGATCCGCAACCCGCGCTCGCTGATGGCGCGCGCCGCGTTCGAGCTGCGAGCCGAGCGACGCTGGGTGCTCACCGGTACACCGGTGCAGAACCGGCTCAAGGACCTGTGGTCGCTGGTACGCTTCCTGCGTCTGGAGCCATACGCCTCGCAGCGGCCGCTGTGGCGTATGATGCTGGAACAGCCGGTGATGCGCGGCAGTCCGGACGCCGTCGAGCGGCTGCAGACGCTAATGGCGTCGATCGCGCTGCGCCGGCTGAAGGAGCAGAAGGTGGACGGCCGGCCGATCGTCTCCCTACCGGCGCGCAACGTCTACGTCCAGCACGTGACGCTGGAGGGCGAGCAGCGGCGCCGCTACGACACGATGGAGGAGCAGTGTCGCCGCGGCGTGGCGCGCTTCATCCGCGACGGCACCATCGTGCGCCGCCAGGTGCAGATCCTGGTGATGCTGCTGCGGCTGCGCCAGCTGTGCTGCCACCCGCTGCTGGTGCCGGCGCACGACCAGCCGCTGCCTGAAGAGGACGAGGAGGGGGGAGCCGGGCCGTCGGCAGAGGAAATCGGCCCAGAGGTGAGCTGTCTTATGTGTATCTCACTTTTTGCCGACGTATCCGAATCCGACATTTGTCATAGTTAATGCATCCCAATTTACAGCCAGTAAAGGGTCTGTATTTCATCACTGTCTAATTTAACCCTCGCCGGACCTATTGGTTTTCTACATACGCGCCGGCCGAGGGGGGGCGGATACGACCCCCCCTCGCCGTTTCGCCCCTGGTGGAGCTAGCGCGTCGCGGAAAAAACGAGCGTGTGCGCCGTTACGAGACGCAGAGATTGGTACCCGATTTTAAGGTCCTAGGTCAACCGGTGACCTCTGAGGTCAGGTCAAGTGCCCCAAGGTACGGTTCAGTTTTTGGTGAATAACTTCGCAAAAAACGGCCGCAGAGCGCCGATTTTGGCAGCATCGTGTTCGTCTTGCTCAGGCGCGTCGAATGATATACTTTTTGTCCGGGTCAGGTCAACTTGGGGTGTTGACCTCAGGTCAAGGTCAGGTCAGCACCCCCAGGTCACGAAGTTGGTCGAAAGAGGTCATGTCGCATATCATTCGATTCGGCAGGTCTTCCTGAGTCCATTGGTGGCTTTCCCGACTCGCTAGCTCAATTTGATCAAGAGTTATTGACGAAAAACTAATATGACCTTGATGACGTCATAAATGACGTCACGCAAGGTCAACATTGCAAAAGTGACGCATCTAACCTTGCAAGGAGTGCATCAAATCACGATTCTGTGTGCTTGAAATAGTTGGAGATCGTTCCCGGCGCCAGAATAGCAGTTTTCATTTTTCCCCATTGACTTATAATGGTGAGGTCACGAAAATGACCTGACCTCATATGACCTTTAGGAAAAATCCGAGATATACAAGTTGTGGGACTCATAATGGATACTACTATGTATTTCAGACCCCGTGAGACCCTGTTTTTCGGCGATAATTTCTTCAGTTTTTGTCTAATTGGCTTGAAATTTTGACATTAGACATTTCAGCTCAAGCGCCGATTTTTATCAATATGGTCTCTTAACAAAATGTAAATATTTAGAGCACTTGTCATTGGCTCGTAATGCTAATTAGATTTTGCACCCGGATAGAGGCTCGTTCGCTACCGCAGCGGATTGGATGGGAGCGCTGGCCAATCACGTTGCGCCAGGCCCAACTAAGCTCCGCCCACTGGCCGTGACCGCGCTGGGTCTATGCAGGCTCAGTCGGCGGCAGCACCGCGGAGAGGTCGCACGGGGGCCGTGCACTGGAAACATACATGGAATCGACAGGAAGTGTCAGAGCGAAAGCTTGCTCTTCATTTGGGGGAGTTGGTAACCGCTTCTCTCTTTTTGGTATATCAACACCGATCCAGCTCAGAATATGAAGAATAATCAAAATGAGGATATTAACCTCCCCAGAACTAACATTAAATAGAGAGCTGAGTCATGCACTATCTGAATATCTGAATGAATGCACATTCTGGCGCCTACCTCATGGTCAGGTCGTGCCACTATTGTCACCTATGACATCATGCGAAGCCTCTGCACTACTCGAAAATATCGATATGGTTCGGGCTGCGTCAATTGCTGTTTCTGAAGACGCTGTTATACCTAACTATGCATAAAAAACAGCAGGATTATTAGTCGCGAGCACTTCCGATTGCCTCAGACATCGCTCCACGAGCTGTGTTCGTTATTCGGGAAGCGTTTAGAAGGGAGCAGAAATGTGATGTGCGATTTATTGCGCATGGTAGAAATGTGACATCAGAATAAGGGAAACAAGCGCATAGGCTAGTAAAGAAATCGCGTCTTTTTGTGAAACTTAAGTAACATTTCAAGCTCTCCAATAGTGAGGCAGTAGGGTACCTGCTTACAGGTAGGTATCTTAATTATTTGCAGTTCAACACGAAAGCCTGGGGTCAAGTCAGTCCGGTGACCTCAATCTAGCCAGTTATAAAATGGGCTAGTTCTGAAGTTGTTCAATCACATGAATCCATCTCAAGCATACGCATAAGCATAATATATTTCATATTTTAACCCAGGCGCGGATACAAGGGGGGGCCATGGGGGCCATGGCCCCCCCCCCCCCTTGGCCGATTTTTTTCAAAAATAAAATAAAAAGTTAAAAAGTTAAAAAGCTGAAAAGGGGGCCTCCTGAAAATAAAGTGGCCGAAATCCGATGAGTTTTTTTTTTAACCTACCCACTTAGTTATTTCTTAGAAGACTAGCTGAGAAGACTTCTTTGTTAGAAGATTGGTAAAGCTTTTCATAACTTGGAGGTCTCTTATACTCACAGAGATGACCACTTTTACAGGGCCTCCTAACCTGCACAGAGGGCCTCCAAGCCTGCACAGATGTTGAGATGTTGCCTGAACAGCTAGATAAGCTAAATAGACGCAGTTTTTTTTTGGGGGGGGGGGCCCAACAAGTGGGAAGATGGGGCCTCCAACAGGTGGGATTATGGGGGGGGCCTCCTGGTTTCTAATGGCCCCTCCCTTGGAGATTTTCTGGATCCGCCCCTGTTTTAACCACACTTCTTAAATGCTACGGTGTAACTGTTTACCATGTCTTGCAAATTTGACGTAGGCTGACCGACGTCTTGCATCAGTTCACAGTCAATTGATATCAACGGACTTTTTTATGGCGTTCAATCAAGCAAAAATGCAGTCACTAGCCATGAACTTAGTATTAAAGTAGATATATCTTTATTGATTGACAAGGTGCAGGTTAATTTGCGATAAATGTAATACCGAAGGCCAGTGCGCTAATAACAAGTGCTAGTTTCTGCTGTATCATTATTACTGCAACGGCAACCGCAAGGCAGCCACGTCCAATGCGGGCCGCCCCGGTCCGGCAATCGGCATACGGCCTTGGGTGCGGCGGCTACTGCCCCGTCGGCTCCACGCATCCGACTGACCGGCCAAGGTCACCGCTCCGTCCGCCGGGAGGGCGGAGCTTAATGGTCACGTGCCTGTGACGTCACGCCTACGTACGGATAGCCTCTACTCCACTGACGGATTTACGGAGCTGATTTTAACATTACGAGGCAACGACAAGTACCCTAACAATTGATATTTTGTTAAGAGACCATATTAGCGAAAATTGGCGCTTGAGCTGAAATGTGCTGTGCGAAAATTTGAAGCCAATTGGATAAATATTAAATAAATTATCGCCGAAAAACAGGGTCTCATGGGGTCTGAAATGCATAGTAGATCCTGCAAGTTTCATTTCCCTGTGACATCTCCTCTGGCAGTGAGGGCGTTGCGAAGTTGCGACATCTGAAGACCGTGCAGAGGTTCACTTATGACGTCATAGGTCAGTGACCTGACCTGACCCAAAAATGCGGTTGGTGTCAAAAGATCCGGCTTGGATCAAAGGTCAGGTATGCCAAGTTTCAGCTCGCTATCGCCAGCGTGTTCGGAGCTATCGCGAAAAAACCCTATGGGGGGCGGCACCCGCCCCCCCCCCCCTCGGCCGGCGAGGGTTATGTACCGAATCACGCTCTTTGCATACTCACACTATCTTTGATACACCCACCAACTGACTTATTTTTAAGATATTGAGCCACTCTACCGACGTACGGCCCTCCAGCAAAAGAGTGGTTGGTTAGCCTATGTGCATTTGGTGTAATAACTTTGAATGACAGAGACACTCTTGTAAAATGACTTAATAGAAATGAGAAGAGGGTTCGTGCACACACTTCGGCAATGGTTTTCAACAGCCATTAGACGTATTCATCAATGCAGACCGCTTATCGTGATGTTGGCAACCAACCACTAAATACCTGGAGGGCCGTACCACATCCCTGATCCTCTCCCTCACAAACCCGACACTGACTGGATCTGCTCGCACCCCCCAGGAGCGGCAGCGGCTGGTGGCCGCTCTGACAGAGATGCTGGGCTCCGGGTCCGACGAGGAGTGTCCCGTCTGCTTCGAGCCGCTCCGGCAGCCCGTCATCACCGTCTGCTCGCACGTGTTCTGTCGGCCGTGCGTGGGCCGTTTGCTGGACGCGGCGGCGGGCCCCCGACCGGCGGCGGCGCCCGACCCGCAGTGTCCGCTGTGCCGCGGCCCCCTGCGCGCCGGGCAGCTAGTGGAGGTGCCTGAGGAGGAGCAGAAGGCCGACCAGGCGGAGAAGAAAGGCGAGGAGGAGGAAATGCCTGCTGATGATGTCATGAGCGCCAAGGTGAGAAAGACTGAGAGATGGGTATGTGAGAGTGGTAGGCTGTCGTGTGAGATACGTCATGTGTGCGTGGGCTGAATACTAGAATAATTTTGACGATTCATGCCACGTCTCTGTCCTGCCATTCGGTAAACAGTACAATGGCTTGCACTGATTGTCATGTCCTATGAGTATGTTTAGAATGATGTCCCTCTTTTCGTCATTCCTAGTAACTGTTGTTACTTGTTTGTCTCATATTGTGTGTATTCTACTGGCTTATTCAGATAATATTTTTCCTCGTGTATTTTACCATTCGTGATACTCAGCTAGCAGTTTTTAATGCGCCGCAGCAACCAATTGAAGTGCAAGCGAGGCAAAAAATCAAAGTTGTGCACACTTATCCAACGTCCAAATAGTAGGTCTGTGACTACGGCCCATGATCCTACTGATGAGGAATCCGTTGGCATTTATCTTTCATCTGCAGCTTTGCGCCCTTGTCCGTCCCGCGTGACCCACTGACATATGTGCCGTTTCCCAGATCAACTCCCTGATGGAGGGTCTGCGCGCCATGCGTGCCGAGGACGCGTCCACCAAGGCGCTGGTGGTGTCCCAGTTCACCAAGCTGCTGGACCGGCTGGAGGCGCCGCTGCGGGCCGCCGGCCTGGTGTTCTGCCGGCTGGACGGCACCATGTCGCTGCCGGAGCGGCGGCGCGCCATCGCGCAGCTGTCGCAGACGACCGCCGGCGCGCCGTCCGTGCTGCTGCTGTCGCTGCGCGCCGGCGGTGAGGGCATCAACCTGACGGCCGCCTCGCGCGTCTTCCTGCTCGACCCGGCCTGGAACCCAGCCAGCGAGGAGCAGTGCTTCGACCGGTGCCACCGGCTGGGCCAGACGCGGCCCGTCACCATCGTCAAAATGGTGGCCAAGGACAGTGTCGAGGAGCGTATGATGGATCTGCAGGAGAAGAAGCGCCAGCTGATGACCAGCACGTTCGGAGGTGTAGGTCTGACCGCTGAACAGCGCCGGGTGCAGTTCATCAACGATATGCGCACACTGTTCAACCTGTGAGCGGGTGAAGCAGTGCTCGGGGCTCAGTGTCAGACGGTGGTTGTGTCGGAGGCTCGCCCCCGAACGACTAGGGCTGTGTATGGGAGTGCAGAGGCTCGTCTGTATCGAGGTGGAGCGATCAGCTACACGGCACTGCGCGGAGTGGGTGAAGTAATCGTCGGCTGTGACTGCTGCTCGATATGTAAGTGCCATCGGCCAGGAAAGACTCGTTAGTGGGTGTAGGGACAAGCTGCCGAGTTGTAGAGCTAGTGTTTGCTTAGTTGTTGCGTAATTTGTGGACCACCACGAGTTTGTAAATTGTTTGAGGTAGATTACGCAATAAGATGGATTGGTATGGGCCGTCGGAGCTGTTTCACCCTAGCCCTCCTGTGCTCTCCTGAGCCCTCCTGTGCTCTCCTGAGCCCTCCTGTGCTGTGCTATGTCCCGATTTCTCGCTGATCTATGTGGTTGGCCAGCAATATGCAGGCTACAATGTCGCTCTATTCCATTTAAAACGTTCCAGATGACACGTTGACCGCTTGGTTAGTGTCTGTCAACCGTGGATGAATGAAGTTTTAATTCAGTGCGTATTAACAGAGAGTTCTTGGTTCAACAATCTTTATCTTCTCGTCCTATGATGCACTACGCTTCTAGAATATCAATAATCCACCATAGCTGCCTGAACTGTTCAAATCACTTCCGACGAATATTGTGCCTTGCTGTTGTCTCAGGATAGGAACCTGCCCGATCAAGGATGTTTTTCATGGTTATTTAACCGAGCTTGTCGTTGTTGGTAATATACCTTACGGTATTGATCGTGTATGCTGGTAACCGACCACGCTAAAGAGCCTGGTTACCGAATTATGCAATCGATGACGTGGTTTGTGCCAGCCACCAGCGACGGCACCACCTAGCGGGATATCGGGGAACTTGTCTGACATTTGGCGGAGCGACAGATGTCGCTACTAGGGGGTGGATGCAGACTGCACGGCGTCCGCCACTGGCCTCCCCCGCTAAAGTCTCCGCTGTCTCCAGACTCAAGACATCCTGATCGATTCACTCTGGGGACCTGAGAACCTTTCTGAGGTCATGCGTGAGGTCACGATGCGCGCACAGAAGTTATCACCCATTTTTCGATGCCAATCTATTATGGAAATGTGACCTGCATTCTGATCACCGGGATCGCTGGTTTGAAAATAAGGGAATACAGACCAGTTTTTATACTTATGACACCTGAGAGCTACCAGTTTGCCATCTCCACCCGCATTCTTTCCCGTTACTCTCCTGTATCCAAAAAGCCCAATTTTATTCATCATTAAGCGTTTATTCACAGAAAGCAACGTGGTAATGTGGCAGACCATCAGTAACATTTTACAAATCACTTCCCATCGCAAATCAAGCCCGTGCCGCAAACAAGACTGGACTACAAAACAAACGAACCGAGACAGGGCGCTTCCCCGCGCCTCAGACACTCAGGTAGGTAGCACAGCTCCGCGCCGGCCCGGCGGCAGCTACTGGGGGTCGCCGGTGGGCCGGGGAGGGGAAGGGGGACCCGGGCGAGTTAGGCAGTCTCCATGGCGCCCTCGCCTCCCTCCTTGGCCGGCGGCTCGCTCTCGGGCGCCTCCACCATCAGCTGACCGGAGGAGGTCAGCCGGGACTTCAGCAGGTCCGGGTTGACACCGGGCGGCAGAGTGAACTTCCTCACCATGCGCATGCTGGAACAGCCCTCGTCAGACTTCTCCTCGCGGTGAGCGTCCACGGTGACCACGCCGCCGTCCACCTTGACGCTCACCTCCTCCGGTTTGAAGGCGCTGACGTCCACACCCACCTGGAACTGAGGCTTCTCGACCGGCTCAGCCACCTGCATCTGCTCCGGGGCCGGCGCCGCCTCCACCGCCTTCTTCTCCTCGGGCGCCTTGATGGCCTCCTTGGAGCCGACCGGAGGAGCCTCCAGCACCAGCTGGCCCTCGCGGGTCAGCCGGGAGCTCAGAGCGCTGGCGTCGACATTGTCCGGCAGACGGACACGGCGCACCATGCTGCTGGTCACCAGACCGCCGCTGGTCTTCTCGTGGTGGCGGGCGCGAACCGTGACCACGCCGTCAGACAGCTTCACGCTGACCTCCTCCGGCTTGTAGCCAGTCGCGTCCAGAGCTAGCTTGAAGCCCTCGTTCTTCTCAGGTTCGGCCTTCTTCACCTGCTGCTGCTGCTCCTGCTGAGGACCCCTCAGACACTGCTGTCCTGGGACGTGCGTGAATGGGCGCCAGACGGGCCCGTCCAGCTCGGCAAAAGTTGACCACGGGTCCCAAAAGCTCAGCGGTCCGTGGGAGCTGATGTCCCGCCGGGGCGCCCACCGGCGGCCGTAGGGCTCGAAGAACAGGAACGTATCCATGCTTCTGTCGCTGAAAACTCGCTTGAGCTCCGCTCGCTCTTCGAAGGCTCAAATCCGACTGATTGCCTCTGCGGGCCGAAAGCGCGAATATAAACTACGCCACCCGCTCTCCACAGCTGACCGGAGCTTTCTCGACGACAGAAATCACCAGAGACGAGCCTTCGCAGGGCCGGACAACGCTGGCCAATCAGCGCCCGTAGAGAGTGTGACGTCATCAAACAGCAACGAATGGAGGCTCAGCTTTCAGAAGGGCGGAGCAGCTTCGAGAAACAGATCCATGTGGAGGATTCTGGTAATCGATCGCCGCCGGCTGGTCAGTGGCCGCGTGGCGTGCAACACAACACCGGACGGAATGTCATTTCAAGGTCAGTGCGGATCAATGCCTACCGGCTGGGCCCCGGGCGCCGGCTCAGTATCGGGGTATTACGAAACAGCGCGGCGGGCGGGGACTGGGGTCTGGGGAGTGGGGACCACCGAAAACATCGAGAACATGAGGGAGCCATCGACTGTTTCGTAAAGGGGTGGATAACAATTCTAGCTAACATCCGACAATTACCTATGCCTTCAACTAAAAATGTGAGCATAAATAAGCCCAATATTCTTTCTCGTGGTTCTCACTGTACCTACCTATGATATACTGCCTTGCCTATCCCTTTGTAACAAGTTCATTCGGCATGCGGCGGCATAAACCAAAAACTGGACATGCTCACGGGCATAAATAGCTGTCTGCACTATTTACTTGCCAAAAAATGCACCTATCGTGTGATGGACTTCTTAAAACAACTAAGTTGTCGACAACTAATTATCGATTCATAAAACGAATTTTGCCACTGATTACCATTTTTCGGCATTGTTCGACGTTGTTCCAGTCCAGCACCTGCCCACTGGCGGTTATCGGTGCCTGCTGATTGTAAATTCAGCCGTTGGATTATGGATAGCACTAGCCTGCGCTATGCTCATTTTTGCAAGCTAGCACAAGCGCAGATTGGCCCGACTGACCCGACTGCCATATGCATTGTGCCCTACAGAGGGGGGGGGGGAGGCGGGTACGACCCCCCTCGTCGTTTCGCCCCTGGTGAAGCTAGCGCGTCGCGGAAAAAACGAGCGTGTGCGCCGTTACGAGACGCAGAGATTGATACCCGATTTTAAGGTCCTAGGTCAACCGGTGACCTCTGAGGTCAGGTCAAGTGCCCCAAGGTACGGTCCCGTTTTTGGTGAATAACTTCGCAAAAAATGGCCGCAGAGCCGCGATTTTGGCAGCATCGTGTTCGCCTCGCTCAGGCGCGTCGAATGATATACTTTTTGTTTGGGTGAGGTCAACTTAGGGTGTTGACCTCAGGTGACGGTCAGGTCAGCGCCCCCAGGTCACGAAATTGGTCGGAGTTGGTCATGTCGCATATCATTGGATTTGGCAGGTTTTCCTGAGTCCATTGATGGCTTTCCCGACTCGCTAGCTCAATTTGATCGGGAGTTATTGACGAAAAACTAATATGACCCTAATGACGTCATAAATGACGTCACGCAAGGTCAACATTGCAAAAGTGACGCATGTAACCTTGCAAGGAGTGCATCAAATCACGATTCTGTGTGCTAGTTGGAGATCGTTTCCGTGACCCCCCCCCCCCCCCCCCCCCGTGAGCGGCCGGCGGGAAGGAATACAGTTTTGAACGGGACGCCGTGTTGTCTACTTCAATCGGCAATACAAATTTGTGATCGTTTTGCTTTTATCGACCTCCAGTGACCTGACCGATGACTTGATCGAAAATGACCAGTGTGATCCTGAAAGATCGTACAACGATCCATCTATTGCTTTTCCTGCGTCTCTCTAGCTTTCTTACTTTCCGTGATAACCTGGTGTGGCCAAATACGCTATGGCAAAGCTGGCTGAGAGGTCCAGCCAGTAGCGGCGGAACACCTTCAATGAGGGGGGGGGGGGGGCACTGCCGACTTTTGGTCCCATTCTTTCCATGCAACGCCCATAATAGGGCTAATGTTAAAATGCCAAAATCAAAGGGGGGGCACGGTGCCCTGGTGCCCTCCCCGTTCCGCCGCCTATGGGTCCAGCCGGGCGCAGGTTTAAGTGTTGACCTCGTGTGAAGGTCAGGTCAGAGCCGCTTAGCGCTCGAAGCTGGTTGAAAGGGTCATACCACACATCATTCGATTCAAATTTTTTTCCCGAGTCCATTGGTGGCACTGGCTTTCCTGATTCGCTAGCTCAACTTAATCGGAAATTATTGAAAGAAGTTATATGGCTTTAGTGATGTCATGAATGGCGTCACGCAAGGTAATGATGCAAAAGTGAAGCATCGGACCTTGCTAGGATTGCATGAACTCACGATTCAATGTATGTACCTACTTTAGGTAGTCTTATATCATTCCCGGTGCCGAAATAACATTCATATTCAACTTTCAAGCCCCTCCCCATTGACATTTAACGGTGAGGTCACACGTCACCGACTTGATCTCAGGTGATACTTAAAGTGACCATCCCACCTTAACATTAGTTTTGAGTTGAGATAGCCAAATTGGTGGCCATGGCCTGCAAATACCGGTTTGGGCACTCACAACATCGAAAAATGCTTTAATTCGGAGATATGGAATTTCAAACTTACAGTTTTCGGATTCTAAGGGGCTAATGCATTAGGATGCCCCCTTAAAATTTGTGACATCAGCGGTGATCTAACGATTTTAAAACCTTATACTAACATCTTTGTGAAGCAGTGGTGGTATATGCTATTTGCGCGCAACATCTGCCGCAAACGCCGCACTTCCAAAATGAAGTCGCTAGAAACAGCGGAGATCCCCAAAAAGTAAACAAAAGTAAATGTCTAATATCTTGAAAACCGGTGAATATTTTTCGGTGAAATTTGGTAGCCTACCAAATTTCAGTGATATTCGTTTTTGCTCTTTCTGAACCGAGCGACATCACCTTCATGCCAATTCATTAACTTTTTTGAAGGTGGGAGGGTTCCTTTAAGAAAAATTGGAGATATACATTATACAGGCTGCGAGACCTCTGAATGATTTCAGGTCCTGTAAGTTTCATCTCCCGGCATGAAAGCTCATTTGGCACTGAGGACATTGCGATCAGTTGCGACATTTTGGGGTCGTGCAGAAGTTCGCTTATGACGTCACAGGTCAGTGACCTGATGACCTGAAAATGCGGTTGGTGTCACAAGATTTGGATTTGGGCTTAGATCAAATGTCAGGTATGCTGAGTGTTAGCTCTGTATCGCCGGCTGTTCCGAACTATTGCGAAAAAAATAATATGGTTGAGGGGCGGTACACGCCCCCACCCCATCCGGCGAGACCTCAACAAGTCATTACGTTGACCTGAGGGCGGCCAAAGCTTAAAGTTGCCCTTAAGCTTATAAGGACAACTTATTACTTAATTCATTCGACACTTTTCCACGAGAGGAGCACGAAATCGGTAAAAGTAATTTTGCCAAAGTTTTTAATCAAAGTTATCGCCGGCAATCAGTTTCCGCAATAATGTTTTGCTCTCTGCAGGCTCAGCCGTTGACTATTGACCGATGTGCTTTTCCGCGGTGCCGTAGCTTTATTGGTCCCGAGTTTTACGCCGATCTCTCTCTCTCTCTCTCTCTCTCTCTCTCTCTCTCTCTCTCTCTCTCTCTCTCTCTCTCTCTCTCTCTCTCTCTCTCTCTCTCTCTCTCTCTCTCTCTCTCTCCCTCTCCCTCTCTCTCCTTCTCTCTCTCTTTCTCTCCCTCCCTTTCTCTCTCCCTCTCTCTCTCTCTCTCTCTCTCTCTCTCTCTCTCTCTCTCTCTCTCTCTCTCTCTCTCTCGGGCTGAAAAAAATGTTGAAATGGGCAAAATTTGATCTGTGATGACGTCTGGTGACCTTACCTAAAAGAATGACCTAATTACTTTTACCATGATTTTCGGCGTTCTTTCGAAAGCCACTTGTCGGTCGCTACGTGCATAGACATAGCCTTCTATGTATATATATATCTAAGCCTTGGATCATAAAATCCCCCGCATCATAGATTTGAATATTTGAAATAGTAATGGAAAAATCGGAGTAATGGAAAAATCGGAGTTGATTCATCACGCCAGACAGTCTCTGGCTTTTTTTGTCCAGTTTCCAACCCTTTTTCTTTTTCGATCCGGGTCCTCCTTACCTAAAATTTACGGAGCCGGGAGGCGGCATTTAACACCTAGCAATGTTATCCAGCGATCAAGCAATAACGTTCAATTGAACATTCCAGACGGCACCGGAAGGCGGAATCTACAGTCGCGTGAGCGTCAGTTCCCCCCCCCCCCCCTTTGGAATGTTCCGGTTGCACGGCCTTGAGGGCCTACCTCACTCGTAACATTCCGAAACGCCCAGACTGGTCTCGACACCCAGCTGATCGTACAGCGACGTCATCTAGCAGCGAATCAGAAGCCAGTACTGGGGTATGACGTCAGAGGTCTCCGGCCAATGAGAGTCAAAGATACATCATCAACACGGAGCGAGCTCGCGAAATGGATCATTGGTGAGCCGTCGCCAGTTGACGCCGCCGGTGTCCGGAACAGTCCCGTGCAGTGCCGGCGGATCCCGTCCCGTCTGTCTGGTAACAAAAGTGACCGGCCCGCCGCCCGCGGAGTCAGACATTTGAGTGGTGTTTGTCGTGGTTGGTCTGTGTCTCGCTCGCTCGCGCTACTTTCTGCGATGGATCTGCTGCTGGAGCCATGGGCCGTGTTCCCGCTCTTGGCGGACATCGAGCCCCATCACACCCTGAAGGATTCGGACAAGTTCCAGGCTTCGATGCACCTGGGCCACTACAAACCTGACGAAGTGGTGGTCAAGGTAGCCGACAACGTGGTGACCGTGCGGGCCGAGCACGAGGAGAAGCACGAGGACGGTTACTCGCACAGCCGAACGGTGCGGCAGATGACGCTGCCGCAGAACACCAAGGTGGACCAGCTCACCTCCCACCTGACCCCCAACGGCGACCTGCTGCTGGAGGCGCCCTACATCAACAAGCCGGCGCTGCCTGCGACCAGGGACATTCCGATCGCCATCGAGGGTGCCGGGGACGCCCCGAAGGTCGAGGGCAAAAAGTGAGCTGTGATTTGTCGAGTCGGTGGACTGCTGCCCGCGCCCGCGGCTATGGTTATGTATCGAGCCGAATTTGTAAGTTACTGTTTTGTTCACCATACGCGAGGTGCTGCGGGCGACGCGCTTTCAGGGATCATATGGACCCTCGATTGATTTTTGATTGTAGCCCAGAGATGTGCGCGATTTGGGTCTCTGTCTGCCACGCTGCCGCGGCGTGGTTTGTATCTGTGTTTGATCGGGCCAATAAATGTTGACCGATGCTGATGCTTCTACTGGAGTTTGTTGTCTGTGAATGAAGACTTGTTGATACCGAACAGGCGCAGCTAATCGCAGTGGTCTGGTGGCAAATTGAATGGGATGTGCGTGGATGTAGATTTTCGGCGTGATGCAGTTCAAGTTATGTCCCCGAGCGACTGAAGGGTTTGGGGGGGGGGGACGGGGAATGAGGTGAGGGGGGGGGGGTAAATCAGTCAGGTAGTTTTGGAGCATGGGCTCGTCTGCAACAGTTTTTTAGGGGGTTTGGACCGATTTGGACCACTTGGGGTGGACCAATCAAAAAATTAGGTATGAAAAATAGCACCATTTCAGACAGCGGCGCGTCCAGCGGTGAAGGTTTCATCGAAATCAGTCCAGTAGTTTCGGAGCATGGGCTCGTCTGCAACAGTTTTTGGGAGTTTTGGACCGATTTGGACCACTTAGGGTGGACCAATGAAAAAATTATCGTAAAAGGCACCGTTTCAGACAGCGGCGCGTCTAATGGTGAAGGTTTCATTGAACTCGGCCGAGTAGTTTCGGAGCATGGGCTCGTCTGCTTTTAAGGTGGTCTATGTTTCTGGACCATTTTGGTCCGATTGGTCCAGTCAGAGTTAACCAATCGCCAAAAAAAAAAAACGAAAAACGGCACTTAAATAAGTTATCCGCTATTGAATGGTGAAAGAATTATCAATCTCGGGCCAGTAGTAACTGAGCATGGGCTCGTCCGCTAGTCTCGTCTGATTTTTAGACACTCCCGAAAAAAAATTGACTTGTGCCCGGAGGCGTCGTGGGGCGTGCTCTTGGATAAGTTTTCCATTGGCATTTTCCAAACTTCTAGGACATTGTTTCCTTGTTCCCTTCTTGGCATTTAACATGTAATTTTCCTTATGAAAGTCATGTGAAAGCTTATTTCTGTACGAGAAAATTTGCAAAATTTCGTTAATTTGTGTGGATGTGGGAGACTGAGACGAGAGATAAATGCCTATGATGTCCCCCCCCCCTCCCCAAGTGGGGACACATGCGATAGAGTCACTTTTAAATGTGATATGACCGTCTAATTATATTATTTCGTAACTCATGATAACTGGGTGTATAATAATTTTGACTGTTGAGCGCAATTTTCACATTTAATTTCCTTCTGAAGGAATACATATTTTTGCTAGTGACACCATGACAACGGGCAATAGTAATCCGTGTGTGTTTAAAATTTGATTTCTTTTTCAATTTTCTTCTGGGCAACGACATTAACGATATTGATTAGCGTGTTGGGGTGGGCCATAGAAAGTGAATACTTTTTGGGGTAGGGGCAATAAGAAAAAAAACATTCCCCTCTGTGCCGCCACTGTAAACAAGCATTATTGTCCTCGGCTACGCCTCGGCAATAAAGCATTTTTCGGTCTTCACCCTCGGGATACTGTGGCGTTACATCGGGCAATATTTTTTTTTACTACTGGCCGCTACCCCATACAGTAGTCATTTACTGACTACAGCCGTACGGTCAATACGGTTGTTAACTCAGTTCATTATTCATACTATTAATACCCTACCCACTCCCCAGTCCCATTTACGTGGCTCTAAGAACTAAGAACGGCCTTGCGCTCAGAGGAAAGATGATCGAAATAGGAAACAATCGAAAAGGCACGCTCCCCGGAACCCCCCCCCCCCCCCCATTCTAGACCTTTACTTTTCCGATAGCCAAACCCATGACGTCAGGGTTACATTGAGCGCTAAACTGCGCATTAGATGGTTAAAGGGACTATCCCACCTTCTAAAATGTTGTTAAAACCAGTTAAATTGTGCCCGACTTTATAAATTGGATGACCAGGAACACGGTTCTGGCATTTATTTTTCATTAAACATCTTAGGCTTTCCATATTCCAAACACAAACTTTCAAATATGTGACGTCACAGCCCAAAATTAGCTCTTTCCCCAGGCCACATTACTGTCATAAAGCTGATTGTTTTTACTCTGTAGGCACCACAACAAAGTTCAGATCAAGTTTTAAGCGATTTTTCAACGAACAAACCCATTTAAATCAGAATGACTAAACGAGGTGACGTCACACTAACGGTCGCTCCATGTTGAAGATGGGCCTTGTACAAGGCCCATTTTCAAATGAAGGGAACGAATTTCTTCAACACCAAGAGGCCGCGGGGGTTGAAACCTAAATAGATAGTGGTTTCTGAACCTCGCCGCAAACTTGGCTATCTCAACTCAAACCCCATGTTAAAGGTGGGATAGTCCCTTTAAGGTAGCTATTTCGCAACATGGCATTATCAAATCTGTTCATTGTTTGAATAACGCTGCTCTCGAAAGTCTCACTGTGTCATGATTCATGGCGTCATGCATTTGCTTGCTTTACTTGCTGCGCATTTGCTTCATGTCGCGTGTAGTGCTAGGAAGATGGATTTTTTGCGACACTGCAGTGTTGAAATGATCCGATCCAGGTTATATAACCCGCTGTGGAATGCGAGCCTAAATCATTTGCAGATCAACAATAACCACACTGCTGAACCGTTCTAATACGCATTTTAGTACTGATGTAATTCTTATATAAAGGCCCCGCGCACCGCTGAGGTCTGGCAGGTTCCACGTCCTGTTGGGGGGGGGGGAGGGCAAAAGGCCCCGCTTCGTATCTCCGAAACCAATAGCCGGATCGGAAAAATTCAAACGACATTCGAAAGAAACCATCTAGATGCACAATCGGATAGGATATCAATGACCTTCATATTTGGCCTGTGACGTCATAGGGAGGTCAAACAAGGTCAAATCAGTCCAATTTACAATGACGAGAAGTCGGCCATAAAAAAGGAACCTAGATTTCCAAAATGATTCTGGATATGATGTATGTATGTGATAGATCGGGCACAGTGGCGCAGCCAGAACTCTGGCGACGGGGGTGAGAGACGTTCGCGATGGGCCCCCCAGCAAAGTGGGCCCCCCTCAACCAAATGGGGGCCCCTTACCAACAACGAAGGTCAGATCATTGTCATCATTACCAGCCAAATCAGGGAAAAGGACAAATATCTCTTGATCTGAAGAGGCACGTAAAAAACAACAGCATATTTACAGAAACACGACCATTCTGCCCATATTTGATGGACAGCGTGCAATTGATGGCCAGCGGCCACTCAAAGGATCGGGCTGGGTCAAAAGGCTTTTAAAAAAGCTCAACATCAGTTTTTTCGACTATTACGTTTGATATAGGAGACGAGGTCATATAAGGGGGCACCGGGGCCCCGTGCCCCCTTTGATTTTGGCATTTTAACATTAGCGCTATGGGCGTTGCATGGAAAGAATGGGACCAAAAGTCGGCAGTGCCCGCCCCCCCTTAATTGAAGGTGTTCCGCCGCTTCTGACCTCCATGAGCCTCAAAAACCTCTATGGGCCCCCTCACGCTTGGGGTAGGCTTCCTGAAGCATAAAATCTCTAAGTCTTGAGATGGGCCCATTAGGCATGAATTGGGCGATCAATATACATGTGGTGAGTTGACCTATATCAAACATGATATCGGCTCAATCAGGATTAGGGTAGGCCCTCTCAGACCCAGACCAGGCACGGAGTGCGGACCCTCCCACACATAGGATGATCCTTTCATTCCTGGGATGTCTTCTCAGGCCTGAACTGGGCCCTCTCAGACCTGAAATGGGCCCTTCTCAGGCCTGAAGTGGACCCTCTCAGGCCTAAAATAGGTCCTCTAGGGCCTGAAATGGGCCCTCTCAGGCCTGACATTAGCCCTCTCAGACCTTAAATGGACCCCTTCAGGCCTAAAATGGGCCCTCACAGCATCAAATGGGCCCTCTCAGGCCTGAAATGGGCTCCTCTCAGGCCTCAAATAGGTCCTCTAGGGCCTGAAATGGGCCCTCTAGGGCCTGAAATGGGCCCTCTCAGGCCTGAAATGGGCCCCTCTCAGGCCTCAAATAGGTCCTCTAGGGCCTGAAATGGGCCCTCTCAGGCCTGACATTAGCCCTCTCAGACCTGAAAAATGGACCCTCTCAGACCTGAAATGGGCCCCCTCAGCCCGGAAATGTCGAAAAAGGGCCCCCTCATACCGTAACTGGGCCCTCTCAGGTCTGAAATGGTGCCTGAAATGGGCCCCTCTCAGCCCTCAAACGGGCACTCTCTGGCCTCAAACGGGCCCTCTCTAGCCCCAAACAGGCCCTCTAGGGCATGAAATGGGCCCTCTCAAGCTTGACATGGGCCCCCTCAGGCCTGAAATGGGCCCCTCTCAGGCCTGAAATGGGCCCTATCAGGCCTCAAACATGCCCTCTAGGGCCTGAAATGGACCCCTTCAGGCCTGAAATGGGCCCTCACAGGCATCAGATGGGCCCTCTCAGGCCTGAAATGGGCCCTCTCAGCTTCAAATGGGCCCCTTCAGGCCTGAAATGGGCACTCACAGACCTGAAATGGGCCCTCTCAGGCCTGAAATGGCCCTCTCATGTCATGGAACGGGCCCTCCTAGGCCTTGGATTAGTTCAATCGGGTCTTGGATGTACCCTCTTAAATCATAAAATGGGACTATAAATCCTAAAGGGGGGGGGGGCTATACTGAAAACTGTTTTCAGTCCTATGACGGACCTTGACATTATGATAAAAAATTGTCAGGCTGCATAACGTTACAGTTCGAATCGACGGTGGGCCCCTAGGATAAGAGACGGGGGTGAGATCTCACCCCTTTCACCCCCCCTGGCTATGACGGACCTTGACATTATGATAAAAAATTGTCAGGCTGCATAACGTTACAGTTCGA